GTTCCTTTGTACCTAGTTACTCAACGGGGGGAAATCATGGAGTAAGTGGGTCAAAAGAGGTGAGCCAAGAGTTATGATCCTCCCGCAAAGAGAGCTAGGCAGGGGGGAGACGATATGGATCCGGTTCCAGGCGTTGGTGGTGAAGTCACAACTTCGTTGTCGACTTCCAAGCCCCTATCTGTTGTCGCAGAGGCAGTGACACCCAAGTCGGGGTCTGTCGTGACAGTGGGCCGAGTTGTGGTCAGTGCGGTAACAGGACCGGTTCGACGAGGTTCCAACTCTGTCAAAATTGTTGGTTCCAGCTCAGTGCATATTTCGCCTATTCTGACGATCGATCCCAAGGGTAGTCTACTGAGGAACGTGAGTCTGAGCAACCGTGCGCTGATGGGATTGATCCCTCAAGCTGACTTGAGGCGTTCTGTAGATCTTCCTTTTTGGAACCGTAGCATTGTGTTGCTCCTTGCCTTTACTTCTGTAATGCTATGACTTTTCCCTTTGTTCTCAGTCGGCAACACACGTCTACGCACTTGGGACATAGATTTACACCTTGAGAAACGAGCTTCAGGAGGTATGTCAACGACATTTCGAGCTCCTGAATTGGGGTCTGGCCACCGAGAAGGAGTTGGAGCGGACTCTTAATCAATGAGCTCAGATCTTTAAGCAGTTGATTGCCAATACTTCTGCCAAGGTATCTCTTCAAGAAGAATTGGCTCGTTCTAGGGAAGATTATGATGCCCGGACCGAGGACTTGCTTGGTTCTGCTATCGCTTTGTCTTTGCTGGAGGACCAACTGAAGGAATTGTAGGCTGCAAATGCCGAGTTGAATAACTCTTTGGCAGTTGAACGTCAGCTAGTTGAGAGTTAGCAAAAAGAGATCGAGAAGTCCAGATTGGAGGCGGCCAGGGCCTTTGTAAATGGATTTTTCAATTTTGCTAACCAGGTAATTGAGGAGTTTCCTGACTTGAATCTCGAGCAATTTCAGCTGCCATTTGACGCCCCCCCGGGTGGTGGTACCTCTGACGTTGCTCCTCCGGCTCCTCCCTCCGAGCAGTCTTAAAGATCTGTCTCTATTCTTGTCTTTCTGTTGCTCTCACTCTTTTTTTTTTTTTTTGCAATGTCTATAAACACTTTCTTTGGTATTGGAATCTGCCACTTTCTCTCTTTTTTTTCTTCTTTTTTTTTGTTTGATGTAATTGCTGGTGCTGGCGCTATGCTTCCTTGCCCCTTTGCTCCAAGGAGGTCTTGGTTTATTTGGAGTAATGTTATTTTCTGGGTGGGTTGTTCGTTTGGCTACACGCATCCACGTGATTTTCGAAAAAGGGTGTTGGCTACTGTTCATGTTCTTTTTCCTTCTAGCAGCGTGCGAAGTGACTGTTCATTTAAGTTAGCTCTTAGGTGGCTCAACTTCTTCTTCAAATCTTGCACCCTTATTTATTGCTATTTTGTTTGCGGTCTAGACTTATATCCATTATCATTACTATCAAACAAAAGTCTCAACAATTGTTTTGTTTTGGGTGTTAATAATGCAAATGAGAGAAAGCAACCAATCCCATATTTCTAAAAGTTCGTAACCATTGTTCCTCAGAGGATACTCCATTCGTTCCTAAATACCTGTCATTTAAAATTTTTGCACCGGGATTAAGGAAACTATTAAATAACTTTAATATGAGTAAAAAATAATTACACAAGACTAAAATACTCTTATTCAACACGTATTGGGAAGGAAAAAAATATGAAAGACACTTAGCGTACACTTAGTCTATTATACACTTATTGGAAAATAGAGATAAGGGTAAATTTGGAAGAAAAAATATTTATTATGCTTTGGTTTCATAAAACGACAGATATTGTGGAACAAAAAAAATTGTGTAAAACGATAGATACTTAGGAACGGATGAAGTATATTCTAAACTTGTTTGGACTACGGTGGTTAGTATTCGAATTCCAGAGAATAGTTAGCACAAACTTAAAATCCCTATAGTACAAAAAAAGAAAAGAAATAGCAACCTAAATTACTCGGAATGATCGGCTATTGAATGATATTTTTGAGATTTAGATCTTTCTCTATTATACATTTGCTCAATAGTAGATCATCAATTATGTATTGATAGCATCCCATAAAGAAATAGCGAGTCACACATTTATTTACGACAAGTAATATACATTCAAATGAAATTGTAATAAAAAAGATATGATATTTTGAACAGTATTATCCATAAGAAAAAAAAAAGAGTTGATTCATCGAACAACGTGGCCGTTGTTGGCCACACATTAAGAGCAATTCCAACCAAGATCTCCAAAATAACTAGTAAAAATATATTTAAACTAGTTATAACTCATATTTGAAGATACGATGAAATATAAAATTCAAACGCCAAACAAAATTTATCCCACTATATTAAATAATAATTTTTTTCTTTCATTTCTTTAATTACATCATTTAAAATATATATTTATCCATTATTGTCTTAAAAATTGATGATGCACAAAACTGTCTCGTGCAAGATCAACAGTCGAGTGTGTGATAGAGGTGTAATTAATAGATAATAAATAAAACAATCAATGACGGTAATGTAAATATTAAGTCAACACAAAGATATATAATAGTTCAGTCCGTGTGATCTACTCCATTTTGGAAAACGGCAATAGTGGCCAGGGGATTTTTGTTGATCAAGCAATGGAGCCAAAAGAGAGAACAATGGTTAGCTCAAAGAGAGATACAATAGTTAAGAGAGAAAATGTATATATAGGGGTGTAGAGAGTTGTGGTGAGATGCCAAGATGTGTCATCTCATGTGGAGACGACTCACAATTTATAGGTATAGTAAGACAGTGACGTGAGTGTGAGGGTATTACTTATTTAGGGAGGATAGTTACAAATGGTAAATACAATTAAGGTAGGAATGATACTTGTGACTGTGTATTCCGATAATCTTTCTCTCACGTGCTCTTTTCTTCTCGGACTTCTAGGATCTTGGACTGGGTCGAATTAATAAATCGAACTTGGGCCACCTTCCTAGTGGATCTGAGCTGCCTTCCTAGTTGATATGAGCTTACTTGATTTACTGGGTTTGGCCCAATTAGATTTGGGCTCGTTAAATATATTGATAATTTTTTTAAAAATACGTAATCCGAAAATTTTTTCTTAATATATGTATATTATCATGTATGAATAATGTTTAAAATAAAAAAAATATATTAAATTATAATTTAGTCAAATATTAAAATAATTAAGCATGTGATAGAAATGAGTGATGTGATATTTTTGAGAGAGAAAATGTATAAGGGATAAAATTCAACTTGTGAGTTATCTTATTATATAGATGTTGTATTTTTTACTTCAGTTAGTCACTTTTACAAGTTCAATACAACCACACTCTCTATTATAGGTAATTACTTCAACTAATTTTAACTAACTTTCAATAATATAATTAAAAAATATCACATGCCCGAGCACATCAGCGCTATAATGATGATGTTGCATGACAAATCATCAAAATTTTGAATTTTACAACAATCATATTTACGACGATTACATTTTTGAAAATATATAAAGAGGACCTTGTCCCCTCTTTGTCATATACATCAAATTTATCATCAACCTAACTAAAATCATATTATATAATCAAACTTCAAATAATACAACCAAATAACAATTTAACTCCCATTCATTTTAAATAACAAAAATCAATTGCACGATACATGCCTTATAAATACAAAATTTTCACAAATACTTATATTAATATTTTATAGAGTCTAATGTAAATATTTCATTATACATAAAATTAAAGGGTTTTCAGAATTGGGGGGGTTCCGATGCGAAATTGGTGGGGAGGGAGGTCGGTTGCAAAATGGGGGGGGGGAATGAAGAAGATGTACCTGATAATAACACTAGGAGAAAACAAAAACAACAATTAGAGAAGATGAAAAAGAAAGCGGCCGCAAGAAGTTTGACGAGCTGCTTCTTCCTCTCCAAATTTGAAGAGCATGAGGGTCTCCTAGATTTAAGCGAGTAAGATGGCTAGTCGGTTGGAACAAATTTTTAGAGCTTGTCTTGCCAAAAATAGTAAAGAATAAGAATTTATCTAATTAATTGGGGTTGCTTTAAGCACTGAGGGAAGGAACTGGCCAAATAATTTAGCGTTCATTTGATAGCTTTTTATTTACCTATTTTTTAAGAAAAAAATAATTGTCAAAAAAGATTGAAAATATAAAAGTAAAATTTAAATATATGAATAATACACTTGTATATATGCATACACATGATATTATAAATACAATTAAACTTGGAACAAAATGATTAAATACAAATTAGAAAAAATAAAAATAAAAAATACAAAAACAAATGGCATTTGCAGAGAAGTTCTCTAGATGCTAAAAAGTAATAAAAACCTAAAAAAGCGTGAATAAACCATTTAAAGTAATAAATACTTGAAACTATTTGAAGAAATAAATACTTAAATCATTTTTTGTGTATTTTCTATTCAACAAATTATTTTAATTTTTCTGGGATATGTTGGATATCTCTCTTTCTCTCTCTCTCTCTTCTCTGCACATTCTCTTTCATCCAACTGGGTCCGACTCTGAAGCGCAAAATCGAAATGGCGGCTCAAGTTTCCCTCCATTTTCAAAACTCTTGAATCGTGTGAAAACGTTGTCTTTCCCTCTTCCGTCCTCGAACCAAAAATCAAAACCCCAACTCCCAAAATTCACCAAATCTGCACTCTTTTCCTCCGCCAACATTCTCAAAATTTTCTTTCACTCCCAATCTTACAAAGCCTTTCAGAGCCCTAATTCTTAAGAAGTACCTTTCAATTTGTCTCTCCCTAATCTCGCTGTCTTCAAAGCTCTCTCTTTGAAGGTTTCACATAAGAACCCTGTAAACTTTCTTAATTCACTGCTTCGAGGCTTCAAAGTTTGAATTTCAGCAACACCCATTTCCAATTTCTCGATCTAAACCCATATTTCTCTTCACAATTCTCTCTCTCTCTCAACGTTTCGATGGATACCCAGTTCACAAAAAGCCTAGAAACTCACTCTCCACATTTAGATTCAGTTGATTTACACCAAACCCTAGGAAGGTGTTCTTCACCCAACTCACCTAAACAAAAAGTCCTAGATGATCTGGATCACTTATCCTCAGTTCCTACACAATCAAACCTCGAAAAATCGTCTAATTGTGATAATTTGTTGGCTGATGGAAGCCCGGATGATAATAATTTTGATCCAGCTTTCTTGCTTGATGATGAGCCCGAAGAAGATGACCATTCGCTTTCGTCTCCGGTTGGTACATTTCTGGCCTCACATTGGGCTGAACCCCACGGTTCGGATGAAGACATTAAGCCTTCTTTGGTGGTACGCTTTTGTTCTAAATGGTTGTATGTACTTGTCAATTTTGGCTTTGTATGTGTCAATTACGTTTATATTTGAGATATTTGATGGTTTTAAATTTATGATGTTCTTTAATTTATAAAATTGCAGGGTGCGGGGCTTGCAAATCTTGGAAACACGTGCTTTCTTAATGCAGTGTTGCAATGCTTCACACATACTGTGCCGCTTGTGCAGGGTCTTAAGTCGTGCAATCACGCAATGCACTGTGATTGTAAGATTACTTCCTTTATAATGCTTAAAATTTTTCTTCTGGTTTTTTTGTTTAAATTCTTAAAATGCTAAGTTTTTACTGGGTAATTGATACTGAATGTTTGTAATTGAGAATATCCAAATTTGAAACTTTGGTTTTGCGATTTTGCAGATAGTAGTGAAGGGTTCTGTGTGTTTTGTGCTTTGCGTGACCACATTGAAGTTTCAGTAGCTTCTACGGGCCGGGTTGTCTCTCCTTGGAAACTTGTTGACAATTTGAGCTGTATCCTCTTCTGTGTGTCTCTTACTATTAACATGAAATCAATTACTCTTCCATAAGACCTTTATTTCTATAAGGTCTTGGATAGAATGGTTTTCAGTCTTTGGGTTTTCTTATTCCTGATACATAAGTACAGTGGGTCATGATTGGCATAACATGATCACCACCCCTATATATGGTTTTGATGACCCTTTGGGAATCAGATTACGATCACATCTTGCATTCTTGTGCTTTACCTATATCTATGTTTGTCTTGCCTTGCAAGTTGGTGTAGATGCTTCACTTCCTTTTTGGCTAGGAATTGTTTTTGTTGTTATTCTTGACCGAGGAATTACCAGATCTTTCATCTAGTTTCCGAAGATTTCAACAGGAAGATGCTCATGAATTCCTTCAGTGCTTTTTGGATAGACTTGACTGTTGTTGTAATTTATCTTTCACAAAGGATACAACACAGGGTCACAACATTGTGAAGCAGGTTTTTGGTGGTCGTCTCATTAGCAAAGTAAGAATTAAGATGGTGATTTTTCACTTCTCACCTCATAATATATTGATTTAAAGTATTATGAATTCCTGTGTGTGTGTGTGTGTGCTGAGAATTTAGGATAAGGAATTTGTTGAATTGTTAATTACTTGATATTCAAATTTCAGCTTCAATGTTGCAACTGTGGTCACTGTTCTGACACTTATGAGCCTTTGATCGATCTGAGTTTGGAGATTGAGAATGTGGAAACCCTTTCTAGTGCCCTGGATTCTTTCACACAGGTGGAAAAAATTGAAGATCCCGAGACAAAGTTTACTTGTGAAAAATGTAACGAAAAAGTGTCAGTTGAGAAGCAATTTATGTTGGATGTGGTTCCTTCAGTTGCTGCATTCCATTTGAAGAGATTCAAGAATGATGGCTATTTTGTTGAGAAGATTGATAAGAACATAGAGTTCCCATTGGAGTTGGACTTACAGCCTTACACTAGTTGCAGTCAAAAAAACAATGTGAGCTTTTGCTACCACTATTTTCTTATGTTATCTCTAATTTTGAAGTTAATAAACTGAAGGAACTACAAGGGAATTGAACTGCTTTGGTAGAAGATTTGGCCATCTGATAAATTCATTGGTAATCAACTCCATCTTCATGTCTGGATTTCAGTAGTTAGCAGGTTATAAACAGTTATAATATAAAAGTTGTATATGGCGTTGAAATAATGCATCCCCTAGAACATTTGCCTGCATGAAATTTCTTGGAAATTTGTATTTGGTTGCAGTCTTAAAGTGGTATAAATGCGGTAGGTGGGATGTCATGGAGTGAAATTCATTTGAAACTGAACTCTCTTTTTCTCTCCCCAACAGGTTGACTTGAAATATTATCTATATGCAATTGTGGTGCATGATGGATTCTCATCTCATTCGGGCCACTACTATTGCTTTATCCGTTGTGCCCCAGACACATGGTACAAATTTGATGACTCAAAGGTATTATTTACTGCATCTAACGTAATTAGCATCTCCCTTTCTTGAATTTGAGATTACTGTTTATATATCTGCAAAGATATGGGCAAATTCTGGCTGATGCATGGTGTAACAGCAAATTTTGATGCGTAGCCAATTTGATCATTCTGTACCACCCAGACCTTAACTACCAAGCAAATAAGATTATACAATTGGGTTTGCTGAATCACTTTTACAAGAGCTGCAATGTGGCTGGTTTTAGTTCTGATTCTCTAAAAAAATTGGTATTTTCATTAGTTCTAGACTGGCCTTGAGCCTAGCAAATTTGAACATTCTTTTTGATACTCATCAGCTACTTCATCTGTTTCATTTAGAGTTCTGTTAAGATCACCAATTTCAATGTTTAACTTCATTTGACTCATTGACTGGATCTAAAAGATGGTCATCTAGAGTTCTTCACTGGGAGAGGGTTATGTGAAGATTTTTTAATGTCAAAGAGGTAAAGTACCACAAGCGAGTAAAGTGAAGTTTGCTTAAAATTATATCTAGTTTTAGCCTAAAAATATATTGGATATTGTGTAGAAGGATACGATACCATGTCAAAAATAAAATTTGACTGTTGATTTTGATTTTGAATTCAGTGATTTATAACTATTGATTGAAAAATAATAAAGTAATAAAATTTTACACGTATTGTGTTTTTATTAGATAAAAAATGGAGATATAATATCAAAAATATATAATATTTTGGTAGCCGAATAAGACTCTTGACACCCTAAAACTTGTCCTCCGGGGACACACACCTATTGGTAGCAGTCTTTTCCCTGCTGTTTTTGACCAGAATTGTCACACCCCCACCCCGGATCACATAGGGTGGGTGGCGGATTGGCCACCAAGGTTTTAACTAAATAACTCTGTGCATAATAAATGTAAAATATAGTAGAAGATAAATAATAAAGTGATGCTTCACCGACCTAATGAATATTAGAGTAATAAATTAAACACTACCAATATCATTACTAAACTCTACTCTACACATAAGTAACATTGTTTTCAAAATAATTAAATACTTGTCTCAAAGCTAGATTTCTAAGATATTTTTTGATCTGATTCTGTTGAATTATGTCAATAAGGCAGAGTGCTTCAATTCATTTTACCTTCTTTCTCAAAAGAATATCAATTTTCTGGTGGATTGCAAACCATGAAATATTTAATGATGACTGGCTGAATTAGGTTTTATTTTTGTTATTACACAATCCTTACACTTTAGAAAGAAATTGGGTATCTAGTACACAGCTTTATACAACAGTTAGTGGTCACTTATATGTTATTCCATCATCATCATTTTGAACCTGAAAAAATGTTAACATTTGTTTAGCATTTTGTAGGTTGTTCGGGTTCGAGAAGATTTTGTGCTTTCACAGGAGGCCTATATTCTATTGTATGCAATGGAGGGCACAGCCTGGTTTTCTACTTTCATGGAAACACAAAAGCAAACCATGGATCCTAGTATATCCAATGCTTCACCCAAGTCAGTGTTAGATAGAGTGGACCACCTTGGTACATCACCTCCTAGTACAGTAAATGACCCTGGTTGTGATGTCAATGAAACCAGTGATACTGCAGACAGAAGTTATGCAGAGGGTTCTAGTGGATCAAGACATGAGAGGGTAGAGGTTAGTGAAGCTAATGATGGTTCTCACAGGGTATATACCCCAGTGCTGCTTGGGGCAAGTAATTCCTCTAATGAAACTTCAAGGAAAGTTGAGAAAATATTTTCTCCATCTGCCTTTAAAGAAGACAATCGCAATAAGGAGCTCGAAATTGAAAAGAATACCAGGATCTTTCCCCAAACACCACCCCGATCTCCGAGCCCAGAGATATACAAAGACGACACTCAAGGTAAATTGATATACTTGATAATAACTTTTGTGGGTGTGCCTATGATTTTCTTGATATTGTCCAGACGACCTAACACCTAAATTGTGGCAAAATTACAGAAAGGCATTTTTCTATTCCGCGTGATCATCTGAAATTGGTAGATCAGGTGTGTTGCAAAAGACAGTTGAACAAGGACTTGGAGGATTCGCAGAAAAAGCAGGCTTGCAGACTGATAAAAAACATGCCCAGTTCAAGGGGCTCAAAGTTAATGGCTGCCATGAAGGGATCGTCGCACAGTGAGGGTTCTCAGAACAGGAAGAGGAGTAGAAGAAGAATAGAATTGTCTCCAGCTAGAAATGCTAATCCTTCAAATGCTCGTCGCCGTAAACCCGAGTTTAGATCTGTCATGCGTCCTTTGGCTGCTGGAAGTTCAAATTGAATAAAGTGAAGATTTGGCAAACGGTTTGAAGTTTTGGTGAATGCTGTTTATAGTCCTCTGTTGATGCTACCCGATGTTAATGGTAGATTTGATCCTGTACACAAACATAATGTCCCTTTATTTAAGCTGCTCAGCAAATGACTAATTGGAATATCATAGTTTCAATTTCATGAGATGAGAGAGAGATAATAATGAACTACACTGCTATTTTTTTTTTTTTTTGTTTTTAGTTTGGTTTAATTTATGCGTATTTTGATTAATTTATTTATTGGTCCAATTAAAGGTAGATTATTATGTTGGGATTAGAATATTTATGAGTAATAAATTTTTTATGACTTGATATTAAATGATTGTCAAAATTTAAATTTAAGATATTTAGATTTATAGTTTGTTTTTATTAGCATTACACTCTAGATAAAATTCAGATAAAGCATCTAAGGACAATCAATGAATCTCCATAATCTAAGTTTCTAGACCTTATCGTACTTTGTTTGAGTTAGCATAGTCTATGTTTAGAGCATACTAGGTGCATTCTTGTTTGTATCAAGCTAGGTTTTGGTTCTTTCAATAACAACAGGAACAAAAAAACTTCCTATTTAAGAACTGAGGCCCTCCAGCAACACCCTTCTCCCACTTTAATTTCTCTATACATTTCTTAAAAGACCAATACAGTGGCTGTTGTTACCAACACTGGACGTGACAACTTCCCAAGATGCCGAGACCCTTACCAAACGGCAAAGGATCACTAGCACAGATTCTGATATCAACGTCGGAGTCACCGGAGTCATTACACACTCCTATACATGTTGTGCTAGTCATGGATGGACTGAGAGCACTTACGCTGAAGCCACTTGAATGGGTCCTCCGCAATGTAGTCCTTGGGGCTAGTTGCACCATTACCCTCCTTGGCGTAACACCTTGGCTTAATATTCCTCGTGAGTGTATATATCCCCCTAAGTTTCTCCATTTTTCGCCAACAAAGCTTATATATTCCCCTAAGTTCCTCAATGTTTTGCTTGAACCTTCCCCCCCCCCCCCCCCCCCCCCACGGCGGGCCCAGCACAACACAAACACAAAAAGACCAACCGGGCAAAAAAAAAGAAAAAGAGACACACCAAAAAGATTTGAAGGTTGGATTTTGTGTGGTGTCCAAATGCCCTTTTTTTTTTTTGGGTTATGTTCAGGTATTCAGTCCTATTTATGTATACTTTAATTAATTTTTTATTGATTCGATTAAAGACAAATTATCTACACCAGAATTAAGGTATTCAGAAGAGAAAATTTTCATGACCTAGCCCTAAGAGGTTATCAAAATTTGAACTCAAGACGTCTAACTTTTCAGCTCATTTTTGTTACCACTTAAACTACCCTGAGATTTTCCATTGCCATTTTGAATGCTTAGGCTAAAGGTTCTTAATGCATGGTGTTATTTTTTCGGTGTGCAGTCTCGTCTAAGACATGGTCAGAGATTTGGGCCAAGGATCTTGAAGATTTGTTGAGCATAAAAGAGACACTGGAGTGGAAAAGTGACGTGAAGTACCAAAAGGTCCAACAAGTCATAGATCTTTGCCGAAAATATGGGGTATTACCACCTAATTATTTTCTATATTTGTCTAAGCTCTAGTACTTATATAGGTACATCATATAATCTCTCTCTCTCTCTCTCTCTCTTGCAATTCTCTTCTTTCTATAACCATTCACTATCTCAACAAATAAACATTTTTCTAAGCTTATCCTGTAACTTATATGTCATTTGAAAGCTGCTCGTTTCAAGGATCCAACGAATAGAATAACTAAAGTTTGTTAATGATCCCTGACTAAATCTCAAGGACATCATAAATAGTCCTTGCTATTCTTACTTTTTCTACTTTGCATATGAACTTTATATTCTCTAGGGCGTCAACCATAAGTTTGTAATGTTTTTGTGCATTATAGGTGGTGCCGCAAATGAGAACTGGAAGCGGGTACCCTTTGAACCTTCTTGTCATTGAGCAAATTACAAACCTTCATCCGAAACTGGTAGTGTTTGATAGGTAAATCTCCATATTTTTTTCGATTCCAAACAAAGAAGACATTACAATGATAGTTCAAAACAATCCATGTACCGATGAACTTTAATCATAATCAACATTGTGATCACGATCACAATCATAATTCACATACTGAGTTACAAATATTGATGCTTTATGATCAATTTTGACAGGCACCATCACAGGAAGTACATAGAATACTATGCTGAGAGACTTCCATGCAACATAGTTGTAATGAAGGATGATGGACAGGTTGACATGATCAAAGGCCGATCCCATGTTGATGATGTCGAGAGCACACCGGGAGAGTCACCGGCTACGTCAGCACAACGTAGTCCACTGTTGATTCTTTCAGATCATTTGAAACAAATTCTGAAGATAGGAGGAGGAGCCAGGGAAAAAAAGGGAAAGGACCGGGAAGCCTCTCCGGGGGGGTAGATTCATGAGTTTGAATGGCCTGGAATCAAATAATTACTGCCCTGTGTTGTCTATCCTTCATTGTATAACAAATCCATTATCTGCAATGGGTCAGATGAACAAATTAGAAACCATAACCATCTTGGATGTCTCAAAATCAGACCTATGATCTAATGAAATACTCATTTTAAATTGTCATTCAGCTCATATCAGATTATGCAAGCTAGTTTTTTTTTTTTTTTTTCTGTCAATTAGATAGAATTCGATGAGAGCACATTGAAGACATCCGATAAAATTGAAATGATGGGGATGACACACACATATCCTGAAATGGTTATATGGTATGGTGTGATTTTGCTGGACTGACTAAGCAACTTGTCTATGTAGCTCGTGGGGTCATTCAACCATCAATGAAATGATGATAATCCGTAACACTTATTCTTGCACAATTGAGCACTTCGAAAATGGGTTTGCACTCGGGGATGGATGTGAATATACAGATGCAATAACAGTGCCGAACACCGAAACTTATCCACCTGATGGGATAAGATCAGAAAGATAGTGGTTAACTTATATTCACTAAATTTAACGGATTCATGCATACCCCAACAATTAAGAGTATGCGTGCAATGAGTTTATGATGAACAAAATTATCATTTTAAATTGATGTCTATATGTAAGTTGTAACTCTATTATTCTTATAATAAGGTGAAAAACAGTCAAATTCACTTAACTTCCTGTTTTTTTGTTTGTTCTTCTTCTTTTCTTTCTTGTTACAAGTATAACCAAGGTCTACCACCAGCCATAGATACAAATTTTAAGAGTCCATTCCATGCATTAATGCATAATATTACATCCAAGAAGTAAAAAGGGTCATACAATCATAAAATATTAACCATAATCCTCTTACTCAAATTAGTCTGATACTAGAGATAGGAGGACGGGTGGTTTTTGGCAAGCCAAACAGTGATAAGGTACTCTCAAGGGATGTAACCACCGCTCCCACCACCTTCACCACTCCCACCACCTCCTCCTCCATATGGATACCCATGTTCACCACGACATAGCCACCCCCACCACCAGCCACCACCGCCACCACTATATCCACTACCTGCACCTCCACCGGCTCCACCTCCACTGCCATATCCTCCTCCTCCAGCTCCTCCCGCACCATAGCCTCCTCCCCCACCACCACCTTCACCACTCCCACCTCCTCCTCCTCCATATGGATACCCATGTTCACCACCGGCGACATAGCCACCCCCACTACCACCACCGCCACCACCATATCCACTACCTGCACCTCCACCGGATCCACCTCCACTGCCATATCCTCCTCCTCCCCCACCACCACCATGTCCACCTCCGCCCCCATATCCCCCACCATGCTCTCCGCCTGCTCCATAGCCACCTCCTTCCCCCCCACCGTAACCACCTCCATGCTCGCCGCCGGCACCATAACCACCCCCACCACCATTACCACCGCCGCCACCATAACCACCAGCTCCATACCCACCACCATGCTCCCCACCACCACCACCTCCCGCACCACCTCCACTACCATATCCAACACCATGTTCACCTCCAGCACCATAACCACCTCCACCGCCATTCCCACCACCACCACCATATCCAATTCCATGTTTTCCACCAGCACCATATCCGGAACCTCCCCAGTCCCTCCACCACCACCATGCCCTCCAGCAGCACCAATGCCATGGCCTGGGCCATACCCAACTGTACCACCTGATCCCTGGTTGTAGCCAACCCCTCCTTCAAGGGTGAGGAGGGCTCCGGTGGCAAAACAAATGCCTAAACCCATTAAAGCAAAGAAAACAACACCAAGAACTTTGTGAATAGCCATGGAAATATGTTTAAATTCCACAACCATGGCTTGGATATGCAAGTAATGGTGGCTATTTATAAGGTGTAAGGGAGTTTGAAAGTTTGAAACCGTGTCTGTGCAAAATTGAGTGGTTAAAGCACATGGGAGGAGAAGTTGGGGCGTGCCAGAGAGTGGTTCAATGCAGAGTAATGTACAAACATGCACTTGCTCAAAGTGGTACTGTAGTAGAGGATATAATGGTGTGCTTTTGCTGTCACCCACATACAAGTAACTCTATTATTTTTTGAGTGCCACAGCATCTCCAATATTTCAATCTAAAATAGTTATTTAAAATATATTTAAGTATTATATTATCTATTTTAGTAAATCATTTTTTAAAATTCATTCCAACAATATTATCTATTTTAACTAATTACTTCAATTAATTTTAATTAACTTTCAATAATAAAATCTAAAATACTATTTAGTATGTTATGTTATCACTATATTAATGACATCACATGCTGACATGTTACGCCATATCATCAAAATTTTAATTTTTATTAATAATGGTCATATTTACAACGGTCACGAAATTTAAAATTTTAATTTTTTAACAGTGATATTTATAATAGTCATATTTACAACACCTATAAGATGAGACAAGTGCATACATTCAAGAGGAGGAGGCGAGGAGGGAGAGATTGACTCCAGCTAGCGATTTACTGGCTAGCTACATCTATGGAGCGAAAATGAGGTTATTTATTTTAGATATTTTTTAGCTAGTCTTTTGGAATAATATTTTAAGAGAAAACTATGTAAAATAGCTAAAGGGGAGAATTTAGATAGTCTCTTGAAAATTCTCTTAATGCCAAAAAGCAGTATAGATTTTCAACTCCTTCGGACCATTTTCACTAACACTGGCCAATTTATTTTGCGTCTTCAACTTGAATTGTGGGCAAGTGCAGTGTAATTTTTATTTGCACGGTGTTTTATTGAGAGTGACGATTTTTTTTTTTTAGCAATTCTGATTGGATTTAAAAATTTAACATAATTTATTAACATAATGATGTGATTTTAGTAGAACCATTTGATCAACACCAAATTTCAATGTTTGATGGAATTTACAATCAATCTAAAGATCATAATAAATTATGTTAGTAAATTAGATTACAATAGTATTGCTCATAATTTTTTAACGAGAGTAAATACTTATGGCCACACCAAGTAAGGGGAATGCTATGGGGACATAATGAGTTGTTATTAATGATATGATAATGAATTCATTTAATACTACAATGAGACCTATTATTAAACACATTTCACTATCATTTCATTGATGATAACTCATTATGTCTCCAAATTATGTCTCTAAATTATATCTCACTAGTATTAGTGCACCAAGTAATTGTTATTGAATGTGAGAATTATTAATGGTTAGAATATTTTTTCTTCCAAATTTACCCTTAATTTTTCAATGTATTAGATTAGGTGGAGGTTAAGTGCTTTTCATATTTCTTTCCTTCCCAATACGTCTTGAATAAGAATATTTTAGTTTTGTGTAATTATTTTTTACTCATATTAGAATTATTTAATAGTTTCCTTAATCCCTGTGCAAAAATCTTAAACGACAAATATTGAAGAACGGAGAGAGTAGTAAAATATATTTAATGATGGGACCAATTGCAACATTAAATGTATCATGGACCAATGAATGATAATAGAATACATTTAATGCTGCGGTAAATTTCATCATTAAATACATTTCATTATCAATTCATTGATCAAAGAGTAATGATAGATGAACTTAAAAACTAGACTTGATAATCTCAATCATTGAATAGATAGTGGAACTCAATAAATGTTGAGATTCACAGTGAAATCAATACTTCTAATTATCAAGTCTAATTTTTAAGTCCATATAGCATTATTTTTGATTAAAATATATTATATCCTCAAATTATGTACCAATAGCCTTGCTCTAAAAAAATACCCAAACTCCACTTTCATAATTTTTTCTCGGCTAAAGATGCATCCAAACACCCCATGATACACTCTTTGTTCCATTTATAATTTGAATTTTTCATAATTCAAATTTTTTTTTTTGTTATACTTTCTCTCAATAGTAGATTATTAATCATGTATAGGTTAAAAAAACCCATAGATATATTGGTCCGGTTTGAGTATTTGGTGAATGATTATCATTAATTAATAGTAAACCTAATTATATCTTGATTTTTGAATTCAACTTCAAAAACCAAAATATAATGTGTAATGGAATATATACTAATTTTTAATAATTATCTAATCGTTTCTAGATTGTTCTACTACATAGTAAGGCGTCGTCTAATTTTATTGCCTAAGTCGCCCATTTGTGTTTGGTCACCCCAAATCGAAATATCAATTTGTCGACATGCACATAGCGGTACACATAAAAAATGGACACCAAATTTAATTGTTGTATTATTTATTGAAAAACAACTAAAAGGCATAAATAAACAAAGATAAGGGGATTAAAAGGTTTTTCAAATTAATTGGATTGATTTGTAATAATAAAAATTTACTTAATATATTTAAGAGTAAAATTGTAAATTAGGCAGACAAGTTTTTCATTTCCTTTTATTTTTCATTCAATACCAAAAAAAAATAAAATATTTTCTCTTACTTTTCATCTCTCCTATCAAATAAAAAAAAAAAATAACTTTCTTTCTTTAAAAGAGAAAAATTTATTCCTTTCACTTTTTCTTCTTTTATTCTTTCTACCATTTGTTTCAAACGGATCATAATTGAGAATATTTGAATCCCAATACCAGGGCGTGAATGCCCTGATTGGACGGAGCTGAGCCGAATAGTAATTTGCTTAAATTTGGATTGGAACTTAATAAACAAGCTTTAAAAAAATTAGTCTTTCTTATCTCACTTATCTTACAAGCTTTCTAGTCGGGCTCGAATAGCTTCACCTTATGATTAACTAGCTCATTGATCGAAACTTCAAAAGAAGAGGCCTTTGAAAGGCTTGGCTTTTTGCTATTTATTTATTTATTTTTTCAAAAACACGAAGCAAATATTAGGTCAAAATAGTAAGATTAAGATTAAGAACGAATTGGACTGAAATCGAAAGAGAAAAAAAAAAGCGGGCGGGTTTCATTGGCATGAAGACCCTAAAGGGAGATTTTTCGGAGAAATGAGAAGGAAGAAAAAGAGAAGACGGGCTTCACTGGCCCGAAAATGGCGGGCTTCACCAGCCCGAAGATTCTAAAGGGAGATTTTCTTAAAAATAAGAAGAATAAAAAATAAAAAAAAGAGCGCCCTTCACAGGCCCGAAGATTCTAAAGGGAGATTTTTCATGTAAAAATTTGTGGAACAGAATTTGATAAATTTGATGAATGAGAAATTAGTTTTTGAGAATTAAAATTTTTTTTTAGTATGAAAACAGTAGAGTTGGGATTTTCCCTCAATGAAATTTCTCATAAATTGAGTATTTTCTTGGTGTGTTTTTTCTGTATGCAGAAAATTTTATATATAAGGGAGAATTCAGCTAACCGTTCCACTAGCCGCTATCACTCAGCATAATATCTTCAACTCCCCAATATTTTCTCAACACCACCAATATTTTCTCAACCATCTTCAGTGAAAGTACACTAATTATACTTCAAGTAAAATTGACTAGTCTTTCACTACTTGATAGGTCTCTCTAACCAAGTCACCTATTATGACTAGAAAAAATTCAACCCAAACATCTAATTATATCAATGTAATATATATGTATGCATGTATTATTATAAAATAATATTTAATACATAATAATTTGACAAAAAATACATCTATGATATATGTCATGAATAATACAATATTTAATCAACGGATTGATATTTTATATATTATATATTTGACCACCAACTGTGGCTTAATTAATATCGAAGAATTTTAGCCATATATTCCAACATTCCTGAAAAATGAGAAAAAAAAAAAAAAGGGCTGGTGAAAAATGAGGACTTCGTTTCATCTTTATATTGGACCCTCTTGATCCCCAAGATTTCAATTTCTGGGTACGGAAGAAGCCCACTTTATAGTTATGGGCTTTGTTGGGCTGTCTCGGTTCGAAGGCTTTCATTCCCTCTTGATGTTTTTTGTAGTCCAGGAGGAAGAAGAAATCTAAATCAATAGATATTCATGAACCATCACTAATAAAAGTTACACATGGCACGATCAACTCGACTCAAGGTCCGATACATCGAAAATTACTTACTCTAAGACATATAAGCCACTGAAATCATCCCAAGCATTTTATCACCAGGACTGCCAAGTCAATGTCAATTTTGAGAAGTCTCATCTTTTTATTGAAAATAATAATAATTGATGATTAAGTAATAAGTACAAATCATCCGCTTTTTAAATACAATAATATTATTTTGACTTAATTTATCACAATTATTATTATTCGTTCTAAAAAATATTACGACTCACTGTTAATGATTAGGTCAGTAAATATTTTTTAAATAGTACGACTCTTCTAAATACTATTATTCTCGAGATTCATTTTTTGTCTTCGAACAATATTATTGAGACTTAATTTAGTATGACCCTAATATCTTTCAATCACATCAAACATTAGAATTTAAGATCAATCTAACGGTAACAATGTAATTATTAATTACAACCATGTAAAAATGCATTATGTACCATGCATGCATGCACGTAGTGGGAGACCAATCAATTTGTTTGTTAATGCATATCTCATGGGATGCTAATTAAGTAGCCTAATGCACCAATTGTTAATTTAATAAATATTAAGAAGGACATTACATATTAATACAATACAGCTCTTGATGAGAGCATCTATTGCCATTCATACAGTACTTATATGCGAATTCTTGCCAAACTTAATCTTATTGTTCTTAGTAATATTGGTAAGAAGACTTCCAGTCCCACGGGGACGGCAAAATAGAGAGAAGGTACTCTCAAGGGGCATAGCCACCATGACCACCACCTTCACCACCGCCAGCTCCTCCTCCATATCCACCTCCATGTGCACCTCC